ACTGCTCGGAGCTGTGCGGTGGCCCGTCTCAAAAGCAAAACCCAGGATCCTAAGAAACCCTCAAGCTCGGTCCCTGTCACTTTAGTGACCATGTCCTGCTACTATCCCCCTTGCTGACTCTGCTCCAGCCCCACTGGCTCCTACGTTGCTCTGCAAGCATGTGTGGCTCACTCCTGCCCCAGGACCTTTGCCCTGATCATTACCTCTGTCTGGAATACCTCTCCCTGCCATATCCTCAGTTCCTCCCTCGCCTTCAAGTCTGCTTGGTCAGCCGTCTCTGGCCATCTGACCTAAAGCTGCAGATCCCACCTGGACACCTTCCCCTCCCTGGCCGTACCTGTCTTACTCCAGAACAGGACTAAGGCAGGTGACAGGCGTGACCACTCAGGGAGGCCCTGCCCCAGGAGGGTGGCAGGGAGGCTTCCCAGTGGAAGGCAGCTGTCACGCTGGGGGATGGAGCCCCTCCCAGGGCTGTGACCCCCCCCCCGGCCCACCCTGGGGGGGGAGCAGGGCGGCCATCCTACCGTCCTTCTTCCAGGAGATCTTGGGGTGGGGGACGCCCTGGCACTCGCAGGACAGCCTGGCGGGGTGGCCCTCGTTGACGGTCAGGGTGCGGGGCTTGCTCGAGGGGAACTCTGGAGCCACTGGGCAGAGCACAGAGGGGTGAGCTGGGCGGCAGGGAGGGGGCCAGGGAGGTGCAGAGGGCAGAGCAGGTGACCCTCCTCCCTGGGCCCCGGTGCCAGCCCTGGCGGGCGGGGGGCACCTGCAGACCCTCACCCCAGACGTTCAGGTTGAAGTGCTTCTCCGAGCGGCCGGCCCGGTTCAGAGCCTCACAGGTGTAGTGGCCCGCGTCCCACGGCTCGGCTCTGTCCACCTGGACCAGCGTGGACACGGGGGTCAGAGGGGGAGCTCAGGGACGGGGGCGCCACCAGACAGCCCCTGTGACCTCAGACACACGCCACATAACCTCCCTGAGCCCCGACTCCCACCAGGCGCCTCCCCACCCACTACAGGAGGAAGCTTCTGGAAGGCAGAGCCTGTGGGGTGGGCTGACAGGGCCATGGTGGGCTCAGGCCCTGGAGAATCCAACTCAGAGAGGGTGGAGGATGAAGGGGGGCTGCCCTCAGGGGTCCCCGCAGGGTGACGGGGGTCGTGGCCTTGAAGAATAAAGGGACGCAGAGCTCAGGGCTGGGAGCGACCCACGTCCCAAGGTGTCCAGGGTGGGTGCCGTGCTGCTGAGCTGGGCCAGGGGCCCTGAGCGCCGGGAGGGCCCTGGGGGGGGGGCCTGGTCACAGTGAGCAGCAGGGATGCTCGTGGCCGGCTGGGCACCACAAGCCCTGCCCGGAGCAGGTGCGCACTAGGGAGAGGCCCGGCCGTCCCCTGGGCAGCGGCACACCTGCAGCAAGGCCTTGTCTGCGGAGAGGCGGACCCCGGGCCGCAGGTGCAGGGGCCTCCCGTCCTTCCGCCAGCTCAGCACAGGAGGGGGCACGGCGTGGCTCTGGCACTCCAGGGCCACCGACTCGTTGGCCACGACGGACACGTTCAGCTCTTCCCCCAGGATGCTCGGGGGCACTGCGGGAGGAGGGGACAGGGGCTTTCTCAGGCCTGTGAGGGTCCAGCAGGACAGACCTCCAGCTGGATGGGCCCAGCTGGGAGCCACAGCCCTCAGGATGGGGCTGCCCGAGCCTCCACTGCCTCCCAGGCCTGCTTCAAGAGGAGGCCCCACGCCGGCCTGGACCGGACCGACCGTCCTGGAGCATTGAGATGTCACCAGCTTGGGGGATGGGGGACGGGAGCCCAGGCCTCGGCTTCCTTTCTTATGACTACTCGTGAATCTAGACTGATCTCTACGTTCATCAAGATTCAATATCTGTATTTCAGGAAATTTATAAAGCAAATCCCAGAACCACCCTTTCCTCCTCAGATCAAAGTAAACAGTGGAGCTCAGCGGGGAGACGCGGGGTGGGGCCTGAAGCCCGCGAGTCTTTGACTGGCCCGCCGCGGGAGGCCCTGCACACAACTCAGTGGAAGACGGGGATAAACAAGTCCCCATGTCACTGGGCCACTGGGGGCTTAGACACAGTGACACAGGTGAGGGGCGTGGGCACGACCCCAGGCACCCGCGATCTTGACTCCAGTACAGAGTGTGCGAGGGTGGAAGGGCTCCCCCGCCCCAGGCCTGCATGTCCCCGTCCCCCTAAGACCCCATCTGAGGAAACCGAAGAGCAGCAGCCACTGTCACTGTGGGCTCAGTGGGTGTCACAAGGACCTCAGGGCGGGGCTCTTCTTCCCTGTTGAAGATGAAGGGATGGAGGCTCCCAGAAGCAGAGTGACCAGCTCGAGGTCACAGAGGCAGACTTGAGCCCCAGGTGCTGACCAGCGCCCTGCACTGCCCTTCTGGAAGGGGCAGCACCTCCACTGGACCACGGACAGTGGGAAGGCCGGGCCCCTAGCTCGGTGCTGCCCCACCTCTGTTTCAGGCTCCTCCCACAACTTTCCTGAACATGAACAGGTTATGCAGAGCCACTGGCCTGCCCACCGGCCTGTCCACCTATGGGGACACTTACACTTCAAGGACGGGGCCTGGGTCCGACTGCCACCTGAAGGCAGCCACAGTGTTAGGTGGTGTCCCCCTTCCAGCCACCATGCCCCGCTTTGGACGCCCCCGCTCCCCCTCATGGCCCTCATGGCCTGGACCACGTGACCCTCCTCGCCTGAGACTCACTGTGGACTTGTAGGACCACGTCCCTGCGGTCTTCTCCCACGGCGCTCACAGCCACACAGGAGTAGCTGCCAGAGTCGGAGGTCCGGGCACTGGCCACGGTGAGGACCCGGCCCCCGGGAAAGACCTGTGTCCTCCGAGGGAAGGCCACATCGGCACCTGAGCTGCTCTTACCCACCTCCACAAGCTGGCCTGCTGCAGCACCCCGACAGCCCCATCCAACCCCCGAGGCCCCCACGATGGAGAGAAGCCAGGAGCTGCACCCCAACCTCGAGCCCATGCTGGCTGGTGGACAGTCCTGTCAGTCCTGAAGAACCCTTTAGGGCCAGGCTGTCCACGACTGTGGCCTCACGTGGCTAGCAAGCCCTGGGTATGGGGCCAGTCCCATGGTCCTGGGGCATCTCTGCTTCTCCCTCACCCCAAGTTCCCAGGGACCAGGACAGTGAATCTGGGGCCACCTGGCCCTACTGACCTGGAGGCCAGGGGTCCCCGCAGTGGACACAGGGTTCCCATCCTTCAGCCACATCAGCGTGGGGCTGGGGGCACCAGTGGCATTGCAGGTCAGGCGGACGGGGGCACCGAGCAGCACTGGGCCCGGCAGACTGGGCGGCAGAGTGATTTGGGGAGGCACTGCAGGACAGGGGTGGCAGGGGACACAGGCTGAGCCTCACTGCAGGTGGCAGAGACTGGGCTGCCCCTTCAGGAGTGCACAGCCACAAACCAAAGCACAGGGACAGCCTGGTGACAAGGGCAGCCACTGCACAGCTCCCAAGGTTGCCTCACTCATCCTGGCAGCAGCAGACGCTTCCGCCATGACAAAGAGGCTCAGAGGGGGCGCCACTTGCCCAAGGTGGACCAGCAAGGGAGCAGTGTGTGAACTTGGGCCTCAGGTCAGCAGGAAGTCATTGACCATGGGGATGGGTGGGGGACAAAAGGTGGCCAGGCGCTTCCATTCTATCTGAGGCATGAGTCATGGTGCTCAGGGCCCCGGGGCCCTGCCCAGCTCCAGGATGAAGCCCAGCCTCTCCCACAGCCTGTAAAGCCCAGGAGCACCACCTCCAGATGGCCCCCGGCCCTCTGGTTCTGTAAGCCACAGGCGCCCACCCTCCTTTCAGTCTCTCCGATCTGCCGGTCTGCAGCCTTGAGCTTTGGAGAGCTACCAGGGTAGGTTCCTAGCTGTCAAAGACACTTCCCGGTGCCCCGGGGACAGCCCTCAGTAGCACTTCACATCTATCAGCTCTTGTAGCAGTTCCCGCAGAGTCATGCTCTGGGCAACAACCTAATCGCTGCTTGCTATGGCAGTGAACGCTGCTGGCTCCTTATTCAGGGCTATAGGGCCAGGTTTTTCTCAGAGCATTCTCAAGACTGTGGCTAGATATGAGATGAACAGACAGAAGAATGAATGATTGGATTGATGGGCAGGGGGTGGGTGGATGAGTGGATGGGTGAATAGATGGAGAGACGGATGGATGTGTGGGTAGATTGTGGAAAGGTGTATGGATGGTGGATGGGCGGATGGATGGTAGACACGTGGATGGATGGGTGGGAGGATGAATAGATGGGTGGATGGTGGATGGGTAGATTGGTGGATGGACAGATGGGTAGATGGATGGTGGATGGATGGTGGATAGATGGATAGATGGTAGATGGATAGTGGATGGATGGATACATGGTAGATGGATGATAGATGGTGGATGGATGGATGGATGGATGGTGGATGGATGGATGCATGGTAGATGGATGGAGGAATGGAGGGTGGATGAAGGAATGGGTGGATGGATGGGTGGATGATGTATGATTGGATAAGCAGATGAATGAATGGATAGATGGATAAATTAGTAGATGGGTAGATGAGTGGGTGGGTGGGTACATGGTGGATTGATGGATGGGTGGATGGTGGATGAATGGATGATGGGTGGTGGATGGATAGATGGTAGATGGTGGATGGATAGTGGATGGATGGGTTGATGGATGCATTGACAGGTAGATGAGCAGATGGATGGGTAGATGGGTCAGTGAGAAGAAGAACAAGTGGAGGAATGGGCAGCATTGTTACTCTGGAAGGAACATGTTATTTGGGGGAAGGGCCCCTGTAGTCAGTCCCAGGCGGCTCACCATTGACCCGCAGGCCAAGCTGTAGCTCTGTGCTGCCTGCCACATTGGATGCCACACAGCGGTAGCTCCCAGCATCCGAGAGTCGAGCTCGCTCGATGAGGAGGGCCCTCCCATCAGCTGACACTGTCGCCCCCGTCCGAGAAGAGATAGGCTGGCGGCCCTTGAACCAGGAGACCTCTGGGACAGAGATGAGATGTGCGAGCTCTCACCAGGGAGAACTTTGGAGAAAGTACGGGCAGCCCCAGTGACCTTAGCAATCGGGCCACCCCACATGCTTCTTCGGCTTCCGTACCTCCTGCCAGGGTCCACCCAGAACTCACCCATGGGAGGGGGCAAATCCTCCCAGGTCACCTGACCCAGGAAAACCCAGGGCACCCAGGTCAGATGGAGACAGGAGGGTGGTCTCCCTCCTGGGCTCCTGACCACCTATCCCAGTCTGAGTGCCCAACACCCTCAGCTCACCCCAGCACCCAGCCCCTTCCACAACCCCTGGTCCAGAGACCCAGACAGAAAGGAACTGGAGTCCCTGGTCCTTGCCCCGCCCCGGGCCAGCCCCGTGAGGTTGCCAACTCTGAGCAGAAGCTCGCAGGTTGCTGCAGACCCAGCTCAGCCCTCCAGGCCCAGGGGACGCCCTGGCACGATGGGTGAGCAGCTGTTGGGGACGGCAAGGGGAGCAGGTAGGGACCTGCTGTTCCCCCACAGCGTCCACAGCTCAGCAGTGCCAGGGCGTTTGCTGGCCTCATTAGGTGGGAACTGGGCCCTGCTGGAGGGGACTTCCGGCCAAGGGGAGAGGGGTCTTACCGGGAGGGGGCACTCCCGAAGCCAGGCACTCCAAGGTCACCGAGGCGTTTTCCAGCACAGCCTTGTTGACTGGGCCTGGCTCGATGCTGGGGGGCACTGGGGGGGGATGGGAGAGCCAGCCTGGTGGTGTGGGCAGTGGGCAGCTCTGGCCCAGGAACCCCATCCCACTCCCGTCTTCCCCAAGAGTCCTGGTCAAGGGCTCTTCAGAGGCTTGTGCCCTGCACAGGGGACCCCACTCCTGGAACCAAGCCCAAGAACAAAGCCTGGCCACGGTCTTCGCTGCAGTTACCCAGGACGCCCCAGCACCTCCAGGCAGGACTGGGGCCAGCACACCAGGAGAAGGCATCCATGTGGCCAGGGCAGGGGTTTGCCCACACTTGCAAGACCACAAGTGAACCCCAAAATGAATCAACAAGCCAAGTGGACTGCGCAGGGGCAGGGCCTGCCTCTGAAAACCCCCCAGAACCCCTGCAGGGCCGCGGCCGATGCTGTCACTCCTCCCTTCCCAGCCATACGCTGGCCCCAGGGGCCCTCAAGGGATCACCTGCCATCCCAGGCCACTTCCTCACCCAGAACCTTTAGGGCCACGTGCCCCTGGCTCTCCCCAGCCAGGTTGGTGGCCGTACAGGTGTACACGCCTTCATCCCTCAGGTCCACCTTCTCGATCTGGGGGGAGGGGCCAGAGCGGGCGGTGAGGTTGTGTGTGCGGGAAGGTGGAGTCCAGGATGGGGGACGGTCAGGGCAAGGGCAGGGCATGGTGAGAGGCCAGGCTGCTGGTGACCACGGGCAGGAAAGCTCTGGGAGGGAGTTACGGCCAAGAGCTCAGATTGCAGGGGTTCCTTGGCTCTGAGCACCGTGTCCTTCCCAGGCTCTCTGACAACTGAGGCTCCCGGGTAGGTCAGCACCCAGCCCCAGCACCCCAGTGTCCACGGAGTGTCCCCAGGCTGAGAGTTCAGTGCCCATCCCACCCTCAGGTGCCAAGACCCTGCTTAGGGTCTCTGAGGCCTCTGAGAGTGGCCTGTCCACCTGTGCCTAGCTGTCCACATACCTGCAGGCTCCCCCCTGAGGTGGCCAGGGCCACCCCATCCTTCCACCAGCGGAGGCTTGGGGGAGGCACTCCAGCCCCGACGCACTGGAGGGCCACGGGCTGCAGGAAAAGGGCCGTGACGTTCTCACCCCCCATGATGCTGACCGACGGCAGTTCTGGGTAGGGGCAGACAGGAGGGCTGGGGTCAGGCTCAGGAAGGGTGCAGTGGGCACCCAGAAATCCCCTCGATGCCTGGGGGTGAGGGAGCCTTGCCAGACTGGGCCAAGGACTGGTCTCTAGCTTCCCACCTACAGCACCTGGCTAGGAGAAGGAGTTCCCTTCCCTTTAAAAGTTCTCCCGTCCATCTACCTATCATCCATACCCCAACCAACTCACCCCCATCACCCAACCACCTTCCATCCATCCATCCATCCAACCACTCATCTCCCTACTCCATCCATCCAATCAACCATCCATCCACTGACCCTCCCATCCATCCATCCATTGACCACCTCACTACCCACCCATGCATGCATCCATCCATCTTCCTACCCACCTACCTGCCTGCCCATCCATCCATCCATCCATCCACCCACCCACCCATCCCATCAACCATCCATTCTACCTACCTACCCATTCATCTATCCACCCATCCATCCATCCATCCATTTATCTATCCACCCATTCATCCATCCATCCATCCCATCAACTATCCATTCTACCCACCCATTCATCTATCCACCCATCCATCCATCCATCCATATGTCCATATGCACATTGAGCAGCCACTCTGTGCCTAGAACTGTCCTAGTCCTCCAGATGCAGCAGAGAAAGGCAGCCTCAGCCCCCACACAAGCCATCCTATCCCATTGGGTGGTGGGCTGTCGCCCAAAGAGGCTGGGCAGTGCCAGATCCTTCCTGGAGGAGGGGGTTTCAGGATAGCTCTGACGGACAGGGAGGAGCCAGGCAGAGTGAGAGGGTGCCACGTTATGTAGAGGACTGAATGTGGGCAGGCTATGGACCACGGATGGGTGGAGGGAGGGACAGAAACGGGAGCTGGGAGGGAGCAGTGACTGGACTGGAGAGGTGACAAGAGTGATGAGTGGTGGAGGCCAGCCTCTCATGCCCACTTCTTTGAGGAACGGGAAGTCCAGTCCAGAAATGCCCTCCAGAGGAAACCAGCCCCATGTCCTTCCCAGCTCCCACTGCCCCAGAGCCCCGGGCACCAGCTCACCATGCACAGACACCTCCACCTCCGCACCCGCGGTGCCCGCCTCGTTGGTGGCCTGGCAGGCGAAGAGACCCGCGTGGCCCAGCTCCACATGACTGACCCGCAGTGTGGACCCCTGCAGGGCCACCTGAACCCCAGGCAGCTCCTCAGCTGGGCGGCCGTTCTGCAGCCACCTAGGTGGGCAGGGAGGGGACATTCTCCTGGGAACAGGACGCAGCCCCTTCCCCCCAAGCCTGGAACGTGCTCTCTGCCCTCCCAGCCCGGCCTTATGACCATACGCACTGGATGGTAGGCATCGGGGAGCCTGAGGCCTGGCAGAGAAGGTCCAAGGGCTGTCCCACCAGGGCGGTCACCTGGCCCAGGCCTTCGGCCACCAGGAGCTGCGGGGGAACTGTGAGCAGGACAGGCCATTGGGTGGTCAGAGCTGAGTGGACCCTGGTGCAATCCCTCCCAAGGCCCCAGCCACACCTCACCCTGATGTCCCCGTAAATGGCCCCAAGGCTGTGTCCCCTCCCCACTAGGAGTCCTGCGTGCCTCCTCCCTTCTCTCTGGCACCACGCAGGCGGGCAGAGAGGCAGATCAGGGAAGGTCCGCCTGGGAGGCGAGAGCTGCTGAGCGGAACCAGAGCCCACACCCCGCTTCGGTCTTAGGAAGATTTCTGTCTGTTTTTAATTTATGGTGTTATCTGCCCTGGGTCACCTGGCCCCGGGGTTCTGGGCAAGGGCAGAGACTGGATTTCAGGGCTCAACCCTGCTGTCCCTGCTGACCCCAGCCCGGTCTCAGTGTCCTCATCTGTCGTGCAAGGCATTGGAGACGTCTCTGACCCCCCACCCCGGGGGCTGCTGGGTCAAGCTCACGGTGGTGGGAGGGGGTCCATGGCCGGGGCTCACCCTGCACCTCCACGGAGTACTGCAGCACCGCCTCCCCGGCCGGGCTGCTGGCCACGCAGCTGTACAGGCCTCCGGACGCCTCTCCCAGGCTCTCCAGCCTCAGCACACTGTCACCTGCCTGTAGCCACGTCCCGTTGCTCTCCACCACAGGCAGCCCCTCGTGGTACCAGGACAGTGTGGGGGGTGGCCGGCCTCTGGCCACACACTCCAGCGCCACTGGCCTCCCAGCCACGGTCTGCACCGCATAGGGCCCTCCGCCAGCGCCCTCGATGGAGGGTGGGACTAGGGAAGAGGGGCTGCTCAGGGCTGCGGAGGCGGCTCCCGGCCTCCTCGGCTACGCTACCTGGAGCCTTGAGTAGACTCCCCTCCTCCTGGAAGCTCTCGAGACCCTTGTGGGGGGTCTTGTGCCCTCGGCCCTGCGGGGTCCTCCAGGGCACTGCTCCCGTCTTCCCTCCGTCCCCACTGCCAGCCACCCTGTGAGCTCGTCCTGAGTGGACACAGGCTGGCCTACAGGTCTCCAAGGGCCACATGTGGCAGGGTGGCCACTCAGTGACGGGTCCCTGGCAGGAGCGGCAGAGTGGGTAAACCTGAGAGCGGCGGCTCTTGACTCGGCCAGCAGTGGCCTGGGGGCTGGGATTTGAGCCGTGCTGAGAACCTGAGTGGCCAAGACGGAGGCCCCCACTGGCCCTCGCCTTCTGGGGTGTGCTCCAAGTTACTGAGTTGACCGGGCCAGGGCCTGGGCAGTGGTGCACTGGGAGTCAAGGTCTCGGCCCGTGTGGTTCCCAAGGTGCTGTGGTGAGCACCCACACGACCTGTTCACCCCGCTTCAGAGCAAGCCCTGGGCTGAGAGCTGGGCCCGTGCTCAGAGCTGCCCGTGGGCCCACTCAGCCCTCCTCCCCTCAGGGCCCCGGGGGCTGGCACCCACCAGGCCGGAGTGAGGCTGCCTCCTGTGAGGGGCCAGGAGGACCCCAGTCACGGCACGCTGCCCTGCACCCCTCAGGGAGGCCCTTCCGCGCCAGCCCTCCCAGCTCTGCGTGTCCCCAGAGCGCAGCCCTCAGGGTTGGCCCATGCTGAGGTCACCAGCGTGACAACTGCAGTCAGACCCTCCCGAGGAGGGACCCAGGGCAAGGCCTCGCTGGGCTCGCCCCCACATGGTGATGCCAATGCCCGAGGCCTCCGTCAGCCAAACAGTCGGGCTCGGCTGGGGAGAGCCCTGCGTGTGCCCACAGTAAGCCGTGGGCAGAGCAGTCGCCTCGCAGTGGTTCCTGGCCATGGGGGAATTGAGAGAAAAGCGCTAAGCCTCGAGGGAGGCCCGGATTCCAGACAGGCCCTGCCCACTGGCCTCAGTCCCTGCCCTGCACAAGGGGGCGCAGAGCTGAACCCGCTCCGGGTGACTTTCTGGCCCATTACCCTGTTAGCCTCTGACCACTCAAGCAGTGCCCTCACTGGCCTCTGGAGGCACCAGGCCTGCTCCGTCAGAGTCCTCCCCTCCCACCCCAGCGGGCCCCGCTCGTCCCTCACCATAGACCTCCAGCCTGGTGGCCTTCTCTGCAGCCCCCACGGGGTTGCTGGCCTTGCAGGTATAGACACCAGCGTCCGAGTCCTGGGCCCTCGCCAGCTGCAGCTGCCGGCCGCCCCTGCTGTAGACCACCTCAGTGCTGGGGGCCAGCGGGGCCCCATCCTTGAACCAGGTGATATCAGGCGTGGGCACTCCTCGGGCCTCACACAGGAACCGCACTGGGTGGCCCTCCATGACGGCCACCTCGCCTGTCTCGTTAGAGCCCCAGATGGTGGGGGGTGCTGGGAAGGACAGGCCCGGGGAGAGGGATGGTCACAAGCTGTGTCCCCTGCCCTGGGGGCTGGTGTCCGCCACAGAGCAGTATGAGCACGCCCGTGGGCCACAAGCACCTTCACAGGCTCCTGCTGTGGGGGACGGGGAGTGGGGTGTGGGGACACTCAGGGTCATGCCCTGGTGGGACACGAGCCCAGTCAGCCCAGGAGATGCAGATGGAGAAGGGGGCCTCAGGTTTGGGCTTGGGACCCCACTTGGCCTCTAACTCACTGCATGACCCGGGCTAGGTCCCATCCCCTCTCTGGGCCTCAGTCTCCCCATCTGAGGGGACATGAGGGGCTGGACTAGATCAGGGCTTCTGCAGGGCAGGTCCCCCACCCTGGACCCAGGATGGTGGGGGAACGGGGGTGTGGCCTGAGACAACCCAGATTCCAGACCAAGCTGCAAGAAAAGGCTCTGTCTGGGGGCCATGACCCCAGCCTTCTAGCACTTTCTACTCTACTCCTGTCTTCAGCAGAGGGAGCAGAGCAGGCTGGGGGCTCTGCCCCTCGGCTGGACTCTCTCTGCCTCCTTCCATTAACAGCTGGTAAGTACCCTTTAAGTAAGTGTGTCTC